TTACTTTTACATATATATATATATTTATATATATATATATATATGTATATATATATATATATACATATATATATATACATATATATATATATATATATGTAAAAGTAAGATTATAACTGATAGCTTATAGCTTTAAGAGTTTAGATTTGTTTTACTAAGTAATAAAGTCAAATTTAAATGCAAAAAAAAAATTATTTTTAAGCGGGAATTTTTTTTGGTATTGAATTTTTAATTTATTCTTTTAAAACATTTTTCATAAGCAGAAAATAGATTACTTGTTGACTGAATACCATGTCACAAACACTGAAGTACTACAAACTAAGGTAAACAACGTTAAAGTGCACAAAAATATTATTAAATGCAGACAGCTGTTTCGGATTCTTTCTGTTTCACTGATGAAGGTTGCCCTTTGATCATCCGAAACAGCTGTCTGCATTTAATAATATTTTTGTGCTCTTTAACGTTGTTTACCTTAGTTTGTATTTTAGCACAAAGGTCGCCCACTTGTGTATTTACTGAGGTACTAATTGCAATTATTTTTCATAAGATGTAAGACACCTAGTTCGCAACATTTTAAAATTTCTACATTACTTTTTCTTTAAAAAAAAATTTCAGAGAACAAAAAATGCTACAAAAAAAATCTATCTGAATTTGTAATAACAATGAAAAGAGCTACCATACGTTGTATAGAGGGAGATGTCAGGAGTCCAAATTTGGTCCATTGGAACTATGAGTCGATCAATGCCATATTCAGCTGCATCCCATGTAAGATATACATCCTCCCATCTCTAAATAAATTTACAATAATATGTAACTAAAATTATTTTCACATAATAAATACTTAAAATATTTATGTCGTCATTCTTTTTTTAATTATTCTAAAAACTTTATTAGATGTATTCCGAATATTATAGCCTAGATAACATTTTAGGTATTTAAAACAAATTATGTCAGAAAAAAAACAGTTCTGTAAAATTTTTTTTATAAAACTCCCCTTAGTTACGAGGCAACACATAAGTGTCCGGTAAATTTCCTTGATTTGCTTTGTCGATATAAATTTTTTCTTTCCAATATTTGCTAAGCCTTGCGCAGAGTTAATATACACGTTTCAATCTAATTTTAATTAGAATTCGCCGTAACAAGAATAATTGTTAATTAAAAAATACCAGTCTTTATATCCATTTATCCATAAGCGAACATACTTTACATTTATTGATATTCATATTGCTTGATTTGGTTTTATTGCTTGATTTGGCTTTTGAACGACCGGTTTTCTGCTCCCCCCCTGCATATTTAAATTCTTGGAAATACAATTAAATAGAGTCTCGGTGCTGCCATCTAGTGTGGCAGAAACTAAACGTCCACGTTAACCTGACCAACGGTATCTCACCCATTGTGGTGGTCCTGAAATAGTGGATACCACCTCTGGAGAATGCACTAGGTCTGCTGATCGGCAAGACTGATTGTGCAGCTCATTGGAAATAAAAAAGACAATTAAAGCTGCTTTCGTAAAATGCTTAAATCAATACCTGCGATTTTTAATGACACTAAAAACCATGAACTAAATAGCAGTCTTCGGTTTTGAAAATATATAACCTATACATTTTTAAATTATTTTGAAATTGCATTTTATTAATAATCATAATAATTGCTTGGTGCGGCAAAATGATTTACCATAATAATTTAACATATGAATCCAACAATTAACATTTCCCTGAGATCTATATTCATCACATGCACGCTGTATGCACGTAACATGTAGGTTGTGCATGCATTATATCGATGCAATGGGGGGGGAGTAACATCACATTAATCTAAGCCTCAAGTTTCTACAAATCCGTACATTTAGGTGCTCGGATACTTTTAGCCAGACAGCATATTTCTCATACCTTAAAAATGATCACAGAAAAACCCAAGTGAACATGCGTACACCCACGCATATTACCCTACAATAATTTAAGGGACACCATCAATTTTTTTACACTCATTTGATCGTTGTGATACATAAAAAGAATGCATTGTAGCAACCTCCAGTCAAGGCATGTTTAATTTCTTTTAAAGAATTCATTACATATATAAGAGTTTTGCAGTGACGTAATAATATTTTAAAAAAAGGAAAAAAAGATGTTATGCAGATATGCACAACCAATCACGAGAAAGACTCTCATGTAAAAAATTTTAAAACTCCGCAAAGATTTAAAAGTGGATCATTCCGAGAAAATAAATTTTTTTTATCATAACGCACATTTATAGTCTGTCTATGTAAAGAGCATCCCTCGATATTCGTCTGAAGCAATGGAGACGATTATAGTTAAGAGGTTTAACTATTTGAGAAATGATGTTGGGCCAAATATTTAAGACGAAGTTTTGACCCAGGTCAGCGAGAGAAAGGGAATAAAGGAAAAAAGAAACTCCCCTCTTTAAAAGGCATTTTTTTCTTGTTTCTATGGCAGCCAATGGCCTTCACTGTGGCGAGGGAAGTTATTTCTATAGACAAACTATATGTAGTTTTCTAATACTTACCATGGATAACCACGAAACAAACTTCACTTGCCGATCCTTTATATCCTGAAAATTAAATGAAGCTAAAATGATTTTCAGTTTTTGAAAGAATAAACTATTTTAACAACACACTTTATACACTGGAAAAAAAACTATTTAAAGCACAAATTATAATTATTATAATTTCGAAAACCATACTGTGCTGTCATAAATACCTACTTCAATATGTGTATTTATTACATTACGGAATCAAATTTAGGGCCGTAAACGCCATTCGTGGTCTTCTACTCAAATTCTTGACCATAAACGTTTTAAAAAGTGATAAATGTTGGATGTTCTCAGGATACAATGAGTGATGGATGGAAATGAGGGTCACATTCGAATTAAAGAGGTCATTTTACGTAAAAGTCAGCGATTTTTCGGCACAATGTACCTTGTATTTTTCATTCCTTTAATGGTAGCTGATCCGTGATGTCTCAGTGATTAAGGTACTGATTGCCTTTGTGAAGAATTGGGGTTCGATCCCCAGTGGCGGCTTGAAGCCCACTGAGCTTCAGATAGATGGTCTGTGCGCAGCTCTAACCACATTGCCGCAACTATGCTGTTGATCACGAAATTGTAGAGCCTTAACCAACATGACAACTTCTGGCTCGAAGCAGGCTACAGCGGGATGGCTTTTTATAATGAGAAAAAGTTCTTAGCTTAAAAACAATGTCGAAAAATTGAATTAAAAATATACTTTGGATAGTTATATTAATATTATATTTGATAAAAAAAACTCTTATGACCAAACTCTACAGAGAAAAACGATCGTTTTGGCAAAATTACAGAAAGTAAAATTATAAGAAAAATAATTGAATGAATAAAAATCAAGAAATTACGCAAAAAAATAAATAAATATATAAAAAGAAATTTAAAATAATAATATTTTAAGGACAGCGGGTGGGCAAATTATTGAAAAGTATTATGAATTTTATTTACTGATTTATTTATTTTTTTCATGAGTAATTTCGTTTATTCTAGCACATATTTTTTTCACAGTTTTTCCTCTAAATTTATAAATTCATGGATATTATTTTAATTGAATATGTTAGTCATTAATTTAAGAATTTCAGATTCAATGGGAGGATTATTTTGGGGATTATTACATAGAAGACAGGATTATATTAATTTAGGATTTACAGATTGAATGATCATGTTAGGATTTATAAGTACTTTCTAGTTCCTAATTGGAAGCAAGGATGAAAATAATGCATACTTAAAGCGTAATTATAAACGTTCTTCTACTTAAAATATCAGATACCATATTCTAACCATACATTTGGAGTGATTACTTATCATATTAAGTGATCTCTACCCTCGCGTTTCAGGTAAAATTTTTGATAAGCATTTTCTTGATATTTTTCGGTACTTAACATACTTTAAATCCTTTCAACTGATTGGATGACGACCATGTATTTTGCATACATGAGAAGGTACTTCCGAACAAGTAAAATATCTACCATTATATACCTACCGTATCTACCATTATGTACCTAAAATATATACCATACACAAGTAAAATATCTACCAATAACAAAGTAAATAGTTTTGTGAAGTTTAAATTAAAAGGAATAAAAGCATATTTAGATTTTTTTCCCTCCTCGCCTTTTTCCCTTTGATATTTGAGTTTGGGTAGGAGAGGAAATGCCTATCAGTGCAGAAAATATTTCTTAGGAAATCGTTAACTTATATCGGTCATGTGTGTTAAATAAAAAGAAAGCTACGATAGTACAGTGGTTAAGGTATTTTGCTGTCATTGTGTAAAATAGTTTCTTATCCCCGACGGTGCCTTGAAATCTACCCAGTTTCAGATCATTGGGCATAAGCATATCTAAAATGTAAATACAGACTATATTTTTTTAAAACAAACATTGGGCATCCACCTAATTTCAGTTTTGTTATTTCAAAGAACTCCATATATTTGTAAATTTTAACCCAATCTAGAAGATAAGAAGACACGTGGATCAAGCATTCCGACAAACTAGTTTCACTTTTTGATGAAACTCACCCGCATTTGCGTTACATGTACAGAAAAATGACGAGGAGATTCTAACAATATCTAAGCAAATAACCCGTCTTCCGCAAGAGATATTTGACATCAGCACTGCGGTCGGTGCAACCAGAGAGCGGAATTTGAATGAACATAGCCATTGCTAGGATTCGAATCTGAAGTGCCACATTGGTCGACAAACGTTTATCTCTAAGATGTCCTCGATATTGCCAATAAAGTGCCGTTGGCCTCGTATTTGCGGAGTCAACCACTGGACGACAAAATAAGTGTTGTTTATTTTAATTGCTAGATTAGTAGCTAATATTTAAAAGTTTTAACTTATCACGTCACGCAATCCAATTTTTAAAATAAATTGTTAACTTACCACGTCACGCAATCCAGCTGGATTTAGATTAATTCTAACTGGTATTGTATCTGTTGTTTTTCTTACAGGTCTCACCAATTTATCATAGTTCTCGAATAAAAATCGTCTTAAGTCTGACTCCGAATTTTCAACTCCTAAGGTTAAAAATCAAAAAGAAAGAAATTTAAATATTCAATAATGATGCTAAAATAATATATAAGAAAAGCTTAAAGCCATATTTTCAGATTGTGAAGGGGATCGTATTTTGGTAAAATTACTACAATTTTCCTGAGGGCAATGTCTTATCTGTATTGTACTGATATCGAAAGGAAATTGCAGAATTATGTGAAGTACATGTTTGGAAACATTACTAAGGATAACTTTTTATCTAAAATTCTCACCTATAGAAAAAATTTAACTTTTCACACTATATTACCTCCAGCCCTGCATGTCTTCTCAGAATACATAGAAGAGCATTTCAATTTTGAAACTAATTGCTAAAACATTGAATCGGGTTTGCGATTAACACGTTAATTTAATATCATTTTAATTTTTTTTTGTCGTATGTTGCTTTTCTGTATGAAGATAAATCATTGTAAACGTTTTTAAATATATAGTATATCTCATTTAACACTTTGAGAAATGAATATCTTATTTATCTATATATATATGTATATATATATATATATATATATATATATATATGTATACATATGTAT